CCCCCCCCCCCCTCCAGGAGCGGTCCGAGTCAGTCCCTCATGCACTCCCCCCACAAAGAGACAGATCGCCACCTTTCCCCCTTTCATGGCTGTTGCTTCTTTGCCCGAGTGGCGACCCTTTCGGGACAAAACGTTTCGAGCAGCTAAAGGACACCCTCACCAGCCCGCGCAGAGAGTCACCCGCCGGGAGTACACTGCCTCAAAAGGCCCATCCAGCCGGCTGGGTATCATGTCCACAGCGTCGATGGTTTAGTGGTAGAATTGCCGCCTGCCACGCGGTAGACCCGGGTTCGATTCCCGGTCGACGCAGGCCCGCTCGTTTAGCTCAGTGGTAGAGCGCCAGTCTAGTAAACTGGAGGTCGGGTGTTCGATCCACCCAATGAGCACATTGCTTTTTGGCCGCGCGTTCTTGCTCCCACCACCAAGAACAGCGCGGCGGGCCGCCGCCCGGACGGGGGCCTCCTCGAAGCAGTAAAAAAAAAAAAGAGACCGGCCAGGAAACGGCATCTCGCGTGCTGACACAAAAGGCGATTGCATTGTGCCGAGGTTTTTTTTCCCGGGAGTGCCACATTGTTGAGGGGAAACTGGGATTTTGGTCTTCTTAACTCAATAGAACCTGCCGTCGCTTTGTGGAACCACGTGCGCCCACGAAGTCAGGAGGCTGTTCCGGGGAACCAGAAGGTCCTTGCCCTTTGCTCGGCAGCTTCCCGGGCCATGTACTGGTATTAATCAAGACTCCGGGCACGAGCGGCTGGACGAAATGTCACCCGATCCCGGACAACGAGCCGCATCAAAACCGCTCGTGATGTCCCCCCCGCAGCCTGACAGTTCCCTGTTCTTGTCTGCCGCCCTCCGGGGGGAGGCCCAAAGCGGGATGTAGATCTGTTTTCCCCACTATCCAGAGGGGGGCTGGGCGGGCTGAACCGGGCGACCAAACACCGTCCTCCAGCCTCGGTCGATTGGCGGAGACTCGCCCACTTGCCGGCGGCCTCGCCTCGACGATCTCTCCTCCTCGCAGACTCCCGCCCAGATGCTGCGTGAAAAGAGCGACGAGGCTGGCGGGCCCCCCATGGTCCCGATCAGCATCCCTCGCTCTCCCCTCCCAACACTCCTTTCTGTCCACCCCATCCCGCACTCCCCCGCCGTTCCTGTCCTCCCATCTAGCTTGGTGTATCTTTTGCTCCCCGGCCTCTCCCCTCTTTCCGGCTGCCACCTGCAATTATGGTATCCACACTCCGCCCTTTTGGCATCTCCCCCCGTCGTCCGCTTTGGCACTCACCCATTTCCCCTGCTGTGGCCAGTCTGCGCTCTTTAACTTCAAGAGCCTCCTCACAGTGCTGCTCCTGCTCATCTGCACGTGCGCCTACATTCACGAGAAGATGCCATCCGTGCTCGACCGCAGAAAGACCGGGTACGCTCCGCTCCCGCGCCCCTATGATGCGTCCGCCCCTCCCCCCCCCCCCTGCTTTGGCCCGTCCGTCTGACCTGTGTGCATGCCCGTCACCAGCTTCCCTGGTCTCCTCTGGAAGTCCGCTCGTGTTGGTGTGTCCTGCCCCCGGCATCCCTGCTGCCCCTATTTAGTGCATAACCCCTCTCTCCCTTTCCTCCCTCTCCTCTTTGGCTGTCCTAACCCCCTCTCTCCCTCTCTCCCCTCTCCCCACCCTCCAGGTGAACGTCTCAGCCCATATGTTGCCCTTTCGTGCATCGCGATGGGCTTTGCCACCCTCTTCTGGGATTAGCTGCCGCCATCCCCCTGGCCACCCCTTCTTCCCGCCACCATGCCCCCGCGACCTGTCAGGCCGCCTTGTACCATAGACCCCTCCAACTTCCAGCAAAAGCGTATTGGTGATTTTTCTTGTTCCCTTCCGACAGCAACACCGGGCAGCTGGGCGCCGGAGATGTCGGTCCTGCCGGAACACTTCCCCGATCTTACCCGGACGCCAAGCCGAAAGCCAGCACCTCCAGGGCTCCTGGCAGGGGGCCCGATTGGGAAGCAATGTCCGCGGCGGACAAGTGCCAACAGGCCAGGTGGCTCCCGGCATGCGCCACCCCAAGGCCCAGGACTGATGGACCACCGGCTGCGGCTGGCGCGCCAAACCCAAGCCCACCCGTATAGGCTTCGGGCAGAGAGCTGGAATATGTATCCAAGTAGGCTTGGATCATATCTGTCGGATCGTTGGCGTGGATGTCATCAAAATAGGGGGGGGAGGGGGATCGGCGAATGTAAGTTCACGAAGAATCTTGCCCCGTCCCTGGGCGAAGGGGTGGGGAAAAAACGAGAAAGAGAAGCAGCGCGGAGGGGGGAAGGGCGGCGTGGGAGCGCACGAAGAAGGTAGCCCCGTTTGGCGCCTGAGTCCAACCAGTGCCCCAGATCCGCCAGGGTGACTCGGGCAGACTTCCGCCAGAGGACCTCAAGGGTTGGCCGGGGAAGCTCCCCCGGTGGGAAGGCCTCGGGCGAGTCGCCTGCTGCCTTGGCCGCCGTAGCTGCCGCCATCTCAAGCCGGCTGTGCGGCAAGGCCCCGACAAAAACGCAGCCCATCGGAGCCACCACAGTGGCGGCTTGATGCCAGGAGAGCGGACACACATCACTCGAGCCTGACCTGGTGGCAGGAGCGCGGACAAATCGCGCCACAAGCTCGAAGCCCAGGCCATCGGCCCAGTCGACACAATGCCGATGCAAGGCACTCGGGGAAACCACCCGCCGGGGGGTTCCCGCCTGAGAGAGGGCCCCCTCCGCGGCCGTGGACTCCTGCTCTGATCCACTCGACACGAGAAGCAGCTGCCGGAAGCTCGCATTCGAAGGAGCAACATGAGGGGCCGGAAGATGCCCCATGTCCATCTCGGACGCCGTGAACTTGGCCACGCCGACCGGGATCAAGTTAAAATCGTGTGCCAAGAGGGCCAGCATGTGCGCTGGCAGCTTTTGAGGGTCGGGTTTCCGGACGGTCAATCGGCCCGCATTCCCAGGACCCCTCAGCGGACGGGCAAGTCGTGGGCGGGGAAAACGCACCGTGTTGGCAGGACTGACCAGGATATTGGTGGCCAGCGGCGCATACGAGGCACCAGGGCCACTGAAGCCGGTGGTAAGGGCCCACATGGCGGAGACACCAGCCTGCAGCGTCCCAGCAAGCAAGAGAGCCGAGCAACGAAGCTCATGATACCCGGGGTCGGACAGGGAATCGATGGCGTCCGGCGGGCGGGCCGCCTGGAGCCGGGCAAGCATTTGGCTTAGGGAAATGCTTTTACCTGGCCAGACAGTCAGCAGGCGGCAAACAGCCAAGCGGACCGGCGCGGACACGACAGGGATTGGACGCACCGAAGTACAGGTGATGCAGGGCAACGGTCCTGCTCGCAGGCCCGACACCGTTGATCATCTCCAAGAAGTGTCGCAGGGGGACGAGACCTGCACAGGCGGTGAGGAAAAATCCATCTCAGTGGGGCGGGGCGGGGGGGCGGTGGGGCGGTGGGGCCACAACGAACCTGCAAGAATGTCATTGGGCTTGAAGATGTGCGTCTGGCCCTCTTCGCTGACTGAATGAACCACTCCGACCACGGCGATGAGGCCTTGCTCAACTTCGACGTCCGGCAGGTCCGGGTGATCGGCGGGGATTGGCTGGAAATCTGGCTGACCGGTGCCCAGCAGCCCCATCAATAGGCCCAGTAGTGGCTCGGACCATGGGTGTGAGATGGGTTTGTCGGGCACTCCCCTGGCGGGGAAGACCGCCAGAGCCAGGAGCCGCAAATCAACATAGGACATCATGCGATGTGTGTCGATGTGCGTGTGCGTGTGTGTGTGTGTGTGTGTGTGTATGTGTGTGTGTGCTGGCGAGAGGGAGGGGGGCCAGGAAGAGAAAGGGATGAAAAAACAGGGGGAGAGAGAGGGAGAGAAGGAAAGAGATGGGGGGAGGGCGTGTGGAGTGAATAACACTCGGCAAGGAGCAACAATCAGGGGAGAGCATGCGTGGGCGCGGGAGGGAAGCTGCCCGCCCAGCCGGCTGCCACATCAGTCTGCCAGATTGGTCGGCAAACACACACACACACACACACACATACACGCGCACACACACGCGCGCATGCACGGACACACACACACACACACACACACACACACACGCGGGCGTCTTTCATCTGTATTCTTCCCGAACCCCAGTGTCCGCACCAACAAGACACAGGATCGAACGGCGGACGATGCCCCGACAGGGCGGCATCGGGGCGAGGCGGCCGCGCGTGAGACCACACCCGCCAAGAGCAGGGGCCCGACGCGGGCCCTCTAGTTAAAAGGGACGGCGCTCCGATCCGAGGAATCGCCGATCACCATACGTTGGCAGCTGGGCCCTAGTCGCACTCGCTGATCAGCGTCCGGCAGCCATAACAGAGGCGCTCGGTGGTGGCGATCTCCGCCAGCGCCCCAATCGGACTGCGCGTACCAACTGTGGGCTGGATGTCCGCCTCCGGGACGGGCCTGGACATTTGGACGTGTGTGTGTGTGTGTGAGAGAGAGAGAGAGAGAGAGAGAGAGCAAGAGAGAGGGGGAGAGATAGGCACAAGACGCGTGGCAAGGAAGAGCGTGCACAGGGGCATCGGCTGAACAAGGGCAAGAATAACAACGGAAGGAGGACGAGCACATACGCCAGGCAAAGAAGACACGGCTTCATCGGCCCGGCAGCCGGATCAAAGTGCTCGGCATCCGTGGTGACCTTCAAGGCAGTCGCTGTGACTGTGCTCACGGTCGACGGGAACTCCTGCTGGAGCCGGGCGATGAAGGCTTCAGATATTTACGCTTCAGTTAGGAACACCTACCCCGGGTGAAGGACCGGGCTTGTCGATCTAGCAGGACGCACCGTTTGAGAGGCCAATCAGACTGGAGTTCCCCTGGCCTGGGATGTAGGGCGCCGGGCACATGCCCAACGGCAAGCTCGCCGGCAGGGAGGGTATCCCCCGAAGCTGGCTGTAAATACAAGCCTCCTTGGTGGAGACGTCCCTCAAGGGCCGGGTCACGAGGAAATCTGGTGACAGAATGTGAGAGGGTGCTGAGGGGAAAGAGAGAGAGAGAGAGGGGGGGGGGGGAGGGGGCGCGGGAAGGCAGGAGGGGATGTTCATGGGCAAACAAAAGGGGAAACGCCCGCATTACGCACCAGTCTCCCGCCAGTCGTCAGCGCCAGCCTCCACTGGCAGCATAAAGCCACGGCCCAGGGCGCAAAGAGACAAGGTCTTTGAGGCCAGGGTGGTCTTGGTGTCGCCGGAAAAGAGGAGATTGCAACCGAACGCACGCGACAGACGTCGGAGCAACAGCCACCGGAGCTGCTCGCGAAGATCATCTCGAGCCGAGACGCTCCCGCAGGCGGCAAATGCCTCGCGAAGCTGCGCACGCAGAGAGCCCAGTCGTCCCAGGGGACCCGGGGAAGCATCCACAGCGCTGGGGCCGTCCCCTGTCCGAGGCCCATCCAACGCCGGGGCCAGAGCCTCCAAGGCACGGACACTCATGCGCGGCTGGTGGCTGCGCCGCGAGGAAGCCGGGTGCGTGGGAATCGCTCCATCTTCCGAAGTGGCATACCACTGCTGGAGGGTGGCCGCTTGACTGAAGGCCACCAGGTCTGCCTCGCAAGGGAGTTCGCGATCAAGGACCAACTCGAGCGGTGCACAAACGAAGACCGCGTGTGACTGAAAGCGCGCAACATGCTCGGCCAGGCCCACGGCAAAGGGGCCATACGCGGCGGCGGGCTGGTGCCCCTCCCGTGGTTAGGACTTGATCCCCACATTGCCAGCAGGGGGATTCCCATTCACGTACCGTGCCCAAGTAGGAGGCATGCTCATCGATGTGCAACACAAGACAGCGCGTCGGGGGCCGCACCGCCCGGCGAGGGTCATTTCCGCCGTCACCACCGAGGAGCCCAATCGGACAGTCATCCGGGCTCACGGTGGCCAGGGCTCCAGTCGAGTCGGTCGGCCGCCGACGAAGGGCAACCAGCGACTGGTCCAAAAGCATGTCCAGGAGAACCCTATCAATCGAGGGGAGGGAGGGGAGGGTGAGTGTGCCGCAAAAAGGGGACACACATGCAGGCCCAGCAGGAGGGGCGAACAACGCACGTCGACCCAAACCCACCGGAATAGGCCACGGCAAAGCGCCGAAGTGAGGGAAGACGGAGATGAGCCGGGGCGGCAGTCCGCGGGGGAAGGCGGCCGCCTCGAGTGCCACCTTCGAAGGGCCGCGAACTGCCGATGGCCACGCGGAACTTCAGGCAGACCTGGAAAATGAAACACTCGCTGTGCTCCGAGGAGGAGCGGTTAGCAACAGGTCCAAAGGACATCGGGGCCGATGGAAAAAACGGACGCACGCGCAGAAGGACTCCTGGACGCGAAATTGAACAGGCCTCACCTTGCATCGGCCACAGATCGGGAGCTGTGCCTGCGTTGCGACACCCACATGGGTGTCTGGGGCGAGATGTTAGACTCAGGGCTGGCCATTCGATCGGAACACGGGCCAGGAGTTGAAACGAACCGAGCGTCATTAGCTCCTCAGGCCGCGAACACATGGCGCGGTGGGTGGAAAGGGCAAAAAAAGGGGGCGGCGACCGGGAGGAAGATGACACGGGAGATGAAAGGGAGAATGGACGTCTGCGTGAAAGGAGGCAGGGAAGAGAGGACAGAGAGAGAGAGAGAGAGGGAGGGGGGAGGGGAGGGGCACACGGAGTTCTATTGTTAAAGGCCCCAAACCGAGGCGCCACTTCCTAGGCACCCTTAGGAGCTGCGGGGAGACATCGCCCCCATTCCCACTCCTCCGGGAGGCGTCCCTGCCCTCTCCCTCCCGGGTGTCGCGGGAGATCGGCCCGGGAGGACTCTTCCGCGCGTGCGGGTATGCCAAGATCGGGTCACGGGTTTTGGACACCCATTCTGATAGTGATCTTGTTTGGTAGCACCCCGATGTGAGAACGTCAGCTGGTGATCCATTGCAGCTGGGAGAGTCTCCCCGCACACCAGGCCACCTCTCCTCCTCCCCATCTCCGCCGGCAATTCCACTGCTTTCCAAAGCGCCTTCATACACACACACACACACACAAGATGCATTCGACATCATTCCTCACGTCTGGAAACATGATCGTCGATTGTGGCCGGCCACATTCCAAGTTTTCGCGCATGGAGAGAGAGAGAGAGAGAGAGAGAGAGAGAGAGAGAGAGAGAGAAAGAGAAAGAGAGAGCGAGAGCGAGAGCGAGAGCGAGAGGAGGAGGCCCAGAAGGAGGAATAGTAGGAGGAAGAATATTTTGGGGTGTATTATGCGCACGCATGCAGCGAGAGAAATGCGCAACAAGGGGACAATCCCACCGCCAGGAGAGGAAATGGCAACCCAAAGATGTTGTGCGACGCTGCATCATCTCGAAGAGAGAGAGAGAGAGAGAAAGAGGGAGCATGCTCATATACACATGTGCACGCTCGGGTCCTCAGACACATATATACACACGACGCGCGCGCGCGGGGCACGCGCGTCGCGAGGGCGCGCAGGTGGCGGAATGTGAGCGGGGAGAGGAGATGTGGCAAAAAGCGGAGAGCATTTAGTGACGCTCGATGCGGCCGACACCGTGGGCCATGCTGCGACAGGGAGAGAGAGAGAGAGAGGGGAGGGAAGTCAGCAAGGCACGTCTCGAACGGGCACACAAGCCAAGCGGCCACACGCCAACCGGAGGAGCGATAAGATGAAAGAAGAAGCAGGGAAGGAGGAGAGCGCGTGACAGAGGGGGACACAGGGAGAATGGAAGGGGGACGTACTTCCACATGTTGTAGTAGGTGTAGGCCAGGGAAACGGGCAGGACAACAGCGATCAGGCGGTAGCGGAACTTGTCACCGGCGGTCTTCAGGAAGACGGGGCCGGGGAGGGTCTGTGTGCGCGGGTCGGCACAAGAAGAAGCGGCAGACATCGGGGGAGGGTGAGTTTCACACAGCCGGGAAGAGGAGGGACGTCGAGGAGGAGAAAAGCACGCGTGCGTGCGTGCGTGTGTGTGTGTGTGTGTGCATGCGCTAGTAGGTGCGTTGGAAAGAGCAGGGAACGGCTGAACATACGGCGAAGCGGCGCTGCTGGGCCTGGACGTCGACGACGGGGCACAGGATGTTCTTGAGCCAGAGGGGGATGTACATGGTGACGCTTTGGAGGGTATAGAGAGAGATGAGGAGTCAGAGGGGGAGAGAGAGAGAGAGGGGGGAGGAAGGGTGAGGGAAAAAAAGCAAGGCACAGGCTCTGTGCCATGTCGCCAGACGCGCGGGCCGATGTCAACACGACATGCCGAGGCCACCCTGGTCGGCACACGCCCGAGAGAGGCTGCGCCGCATTTGGGAACCATCGGGGAGCCTGGTGCGATGAGCCAGGAGGACAGGGGGCGCGCGCGCCCAGCAGGGGAGAGAGAGAGAGAGAGAGAGAGAGAGAGAGAGAGAGGGAGAGGAGGGGAGGAGAGAAGCGGAGAGGTACGTTTGGGAGGAAGGAAAGAGCGAAGCAGGAAGGGTGATTCAACTGTCCTTTGGCCGGCGGCGCGCCTCGAGCGGCGACCGACGCCCAGTATGGTCCCACTTCGGCCAGTCGTCCCGCCCTCCGCAACCGCAGAGCGGGGGAGGGGCCCGGTCCCGGAACCATGTCCCGACAAGCTATCCCCTCCCCGGCAGCAGGCACTCGGGCAAAATACACCAGAGCGTGTCCCTGGGTAGGGACGGACCCGGCACGGGCCGGGAACCGAGAGAACGTGCTTCGCTGTTTGCGATGTCAGATGCCCCACTTCCCGGAGACGGCCTCTACTCCGAGGCCGAAGCCGGCGAAGCGTAAGCTGGGTTGGGCGCCCCCCTTCTTCCCGTCTCCTCTCTTCCCCCCCCCCCCCCGCCCTTCGGGATGCCGGCTGGCCAGGAACAGGGTCAGCTGCCAGCTTACGGCGGGGGAGGGGGGGGGGGGGGGTTCGGGCGGGACTGTCCTCGCGTCTCGGAAGACGGCGAGGTGGCCCCCTGGCGCATGCACCCTCGCACCTGGCGTTGATTACTCCGCACCAACGCCTGACAATGAGTCAGAAAGCTCTAAACCCATCCAAATGACATTCTTTGTATCACATGGATGTCTCTTTAGGTTTGTCGGCCCGGCGCCAGTCGGACACTGTGGCCAACCACCGAGGCCCGGCCCGCGCCAGCTCCGTTCAGGCCCCCTGTTGTTCGGGGAGAGGCGGGCGGGCTTAGACAACACTCGCCCCGAGCCGATGGCTGTCGGCGTGATTCCGCACAAGTCACGGGCCGTATGTCGCGCTGCCCTGCCCCCGGAGAAACTCCGGCCATCTTCCCTCCTTTTGGCCCGCCCCCCCCCCTCAGGTGGGGAGAGTGGCTCGGGCGTTGTTGGAACCACGGAGAGACGCCTTTTTTTTTTCCCCCTCACGCGTGCCCCGCATGCTGTGGCCATGCCTCCGCCGTCGTGTGTTCTCCTTTTTCCGCCGCCGCTGCGCCCGCCCGGGGGGCTGTCAGGCGCGCGCCCCGTTCCCGACATCACTCCTCCTCTCCCTGTTTCCTCCTCCCTCGCTGCCCTCCTTTACATCACCCGACCCACTTCCCTCTCCCATCTGTGGTGAACCCTCTGGCTGCCCGCCCACACCTCCTCTCCTCTCCTCCTCCGGGCCGCCGCTAAAGGCCCCCCCCCCCCCCCCCCCCCCCCCCCCCCCCCCCCCCCCCCCCCCCCCCCGCTCTCCCGTTGGCGTGCACGCCCGGCATACCAATGCCGGCTCTCCGGCTTCCCGGGCTCTGGCGGACGCCTGCCCGCCCTGTGGGCGCTCGCCGCGCGCATACACACACACAGGCACCAAGACACGCCCCGGTTATGAACACCCGGGAGCATGTCCACCCCCCCCCCCCCCCCTGCACACTCACACACACACGAACGGTGGGCGGGGGAGGAGAGGGCCAAGATCAGAGATTCCCAGGCCAACGACGCCATCAGCCCGGACGGCCAACTTCCCCCGGAGCCCCCGGCCGAAAAAAACAGCCTGTCCTGGCGGCTCTCCCCGGCTCGGGGTTGCCCCTTCGGCCTAGTTCAGCCGCCTGCCCGCGCCCCCCCCCCCCCCGCAGTTGGACACCGGAGATGGTCAATCGGCGGAGGCAGATTGTACAATCGCGATCGGCTTGGTCACGTGGGGGATCATGCGCCGCTCGGCCGTGATGCGGCACGCCTCATCGCACCCCACTTTCCTCCGGCCCGCCTCCCTGTTCCAGTCCGCTGCTCTTGCTGCCTGTGCCCCTGCACGAATGGGTCCTATATTATGCACCGCCGCCATCATCGGCGGCATGGAGTTCTATGTAAAAGTGAATCTCGGAAAAGTATTGAGGAAGGATGCCTGCCCGCGTGTCTGTGTGTGTGTGTGTGTGTG